AAAATATCAGGCAAAAGGTGGATGATTTGAAATTAATGGTAATGAATCCTATATACCCTATTTTATTATATGCATAAATGTAATTAGCTTGGCTTTTTTTACTTCTAACGAAAACGTTAAAATGCTGTTTAATTTATAAAAAAATGTTTTTATTATTTTCTTATAGCAATTCTTGTATATTCATTTTGTCATTTCGTAAAATCAAAATGTCTGAAAAAATGATTGTCTTAAAAAATAAAACGACATTTCGCGCTATAGATTTTTGCATAAAAATTTATTTGCCATAGTGTAGTATAGATACATAAATTATAACCCAGAGTATCCACCAGCTTACTGTCAGCTAGATCAGTGATAAGTAAGAGCTTTCACTGATTGATTCCGTGCTAAGAAACCCTCCCCCAGAAACCACCCCATCCCCTAAAATGTAGTGCACTGCTGCATTTCCTGCTTGTCACTTGTCGGCTGTCACTCGTTACTCATACGCCACCGTGCCCCCACTAAGTTAATTTGTTGCGCTCTTCCAGTTTCTTTTTCTGATTCTAATTCCGCCTCCGTCTTGCTGTCTCCCCCTTTACCCCCTCTTTCCCACCTCTTCTCACTTGGCTTTGACATTGACTTTGAAGATAACGAAGCGAGTGTCTGTGTGTGTGTAAGTTAGTGTGTGTACAAGTGGCTCTGTCACACACACACTCAACATTAGAATACACTCGCACATCGTTTAGCTGCTCTTATCGATGTTGATAGCTGGGAAAGGGGGGGGAATGGGAGGTGGGCAGGGAGTGGGATGAGTGTCTGCCTATCGCTGGCATCGACTATTGTTATCTACACGCGGCACTCACGCTGCCCAGACGCCTTAACCAGCTAGGACCACCCCCCGCCACCCCTTCCACTACAACAACGCTGATTTGATTATTTCGGCAAATTCATTTCGCGACTCTTATCGCCTCAAGGTCACGGGCAAAATTCCAAAACACACAAACACATACACACACACACACTTCGGACAGACAGGCGCGACATTGAAAATAATCGCTATTCTCGGGGCGAAAGAAGAAGCAGCAACCGCAAAAAAAGGTTCGTGTGTATGTGTGATAAGCTTTGGGCGCCTGTGAGTTTGATCGGCAAAAGGGGAGGGGCAGAAGCGATGAGTGTTTCCAAGGGTTATTAAGAATGGGTGACATTGTAATCGACGTATAAGCCCCTACAAAAATATACCTACCCTTAAGCTAAAGGATTGGGAAAAACAAAAGATAGACAACCTGATCAATCAATCATCAATCAGTCTACCAAGTTAAGCAGTTACCAATTAAAAAGGTAACCTATCTAATAAAAATATAATTAATTAGAAGCACATGGTAACACAGTATTTATTATAACTATTTCTCTGAAAACAAACGTGAAGATCGTTACCTTAATTACTGAAATTCAATAAAACTTCCATAGTCAAATAAAAAGACGTACGGTTTCTTTTTCATAATTTTTGTTGATATATTTTAAATACTTATTTTCAATATTTTATTCACATCTTCCATTCTGGGGGGTTTTCATTGTGTTTCCATTTAAAACAAACTGTAATATTATGTTATTTCACAAATACAAACTTTTGTTTTTAATTTTTTTATTTCCATGGAGATTTAATCAATTTTTAGAACATTTCTTTGGATTCTTGCACTCTCGCTGTCTCATTCTTCACATTTTTATACCCTTGCAGAGCAAAAGGGTATTATAATTTCAGTCAGAAGTTTGCAACGCAGTGAAGGAGACACCTCAGACCCCATAAAGTATATATATTCTTGATCAGCATCACGAGCAGAATCGAAATCCGTCTGTACGTCTGTCCGTCTGTCCGTCTGTCCGTCTGTCCGTCTGTCCGTCTGTCCGTCTGTCCGTCTGTCCGTTTCCGCGCAAACTAGTCTCTCAGTTTTAAAGCTATCGTGCTGAAACTTTCCCAAAAGTTGTGTAGTTGTTGCACGCAGTATATAAGTCGGAACGGGCCGGATCGGCCGACTATATCGGATAGCTCCAATACAAGAGAATGAAATAAAAAAATTCTCACTCTGTTGTTTTTGATCAGATCGACTTGAATTCTTCAAGATGGCGTTTTCTAACTGTTATTGAATTTTGGATTAAATTTGAACAAAATCGGATAACTCTATCATATAGCTGCCATAGGAGAGATCGAAAAATATATATAGAATTAATGGAAATAAATTGATAGCATCGTTGTTTTCTATCCCACGAGCTTGATTTTTTGAACATCAAGTTTTTTAACAACCCTTATATTGAAAAAAAGTTTCATAAAAATCGGACAACTATATCTTATAGCTGCCATAGGAAAGATCGAAAAAAACTATATAGATTTGTTTATAAATAAAATGATAACATCGTTGTTTTTCATCAGACAAGTATGATTTTTGGAATATAGAGTTTTTTTACGACTCTTGAATTACGAATTAAATTTGATAAAAATCGGACAACTATATCATATAGCTACCATATGATCTATAGTCGAAAATATGGAAAATGAATAGAAAAATCGTCTTAGCTTCGATGTTGTTAAACCTTTATGCATTTTGTTCGACATATTTGATGACTGCAAGGGTATATAAGCTTCGGCTTGCCGAAGCTAGCTTCCTTTCTTGTTTTTTGCCATTTTTGCCAAATTCTCTTGTTTAAAAACTCTTTTTTGCCGCAATTTGATTTGTGACTGTCCTTGAAAATATATTCATGTGTATATATATATTTATATATTAATAGATATTATTTATACGGTATTTTATATGCCTCAGCTGGAGTTGCCTCAAAGTTGCATTATTCTTCATTTCAATGTTTTAGTTGCTATTACGTTACGTTAAACTCTTACGGCTGTTTACGGATACGTTTTACATATACTTTTACGTTACGTTACGCTTAATTGTCGCAATTTCATTGTTTCAGTTGTCGCTGCCGTCGTTCGGTTGGATATCCCTATCAGTATCCTTCACCATCTTCATAAACACCCATCTGCATCATCGCTCAATGCTGAGATAGTTTTTACATAAAATATTCACTTTTAGTTACACAATTACAATATTTTCTTGTGGTTTTTCTGGCTAAAAGTTACGGACAATGTTACATACACCTACATACGTACACACAGACACCAAAATTGTTTCATCTACGTACATATGTATGCTTGTGTGTATATATAGAGTCAATTATTGAAGTGTGATATCTTTCTTAATTTTCGTGGTTTTTGGTGGAACCAACGCTTCCTTACGCTGCGTAAATTTTAAAAGAATATAATATTTCTTGTAGATTTCCCTCCTCTTCGGAATTTCTCTGCCAACGTTGAGAGTTTTTTTGTCTTTACACATTTTCCTTGTGGCTCATTTATACACATAAAATTGTTGTTGATTTAATTCTGATATAAATACTTTAGATATAATTTTGTGAATATTTTTTACAGCACGGTAGTCAAAAAGAAAATGAAATCAACTGATCCTTAAATCTTACCATTCCAAAGCAAAGGAACCAAAAACTGAAAAATGTGAAACTGAAAAATAAAATTGAAATAAAAAAACTTAAGAGGTTTTTTGAAAATTTTAAACAAATTTTTTATTGATTTGACAATACAAATTTCTGCGCCAGTGTATTCTTTGTTTGTTTTTTTGTTTTTTTTTTTTTTTTGTTTTTGCATCTTTGTTTTTTGTTGTTGGTTTGTCTAAGCATAAAAATCGTAATTAATTAATCATAATAATTAATAATCATAATAGTACAGCATAATTAAAATGTAATTAATATAATAGTTTTGTTGCTACCGCAAGTTTTCTCTTTTGTTTTTTGTAATATAAATGTATACTTTAAGTTTAAATAATATATCATAATTTCTGTTTGTTTTTTACGTTTTTTTGTATTTTTTACTTGGTTTTCTAAGATGCCAATCAAACATTGAATCTTTTAAGCATAGGTTTCTTCATTAATATTTATGTGTATTTATATGTACTTTAAATATGTTTTGTGTTTAATTTAACATTTAACTATGTACACAACAGATATATTTAACGTTGGGTTTCTCTGCTTCTTCTTCTTCTTCTTCATCATCGTCTTACTGCTCGCTGCTAAAACGTTAAGCATTTTGTTTGATTTTCGATCATTTCGTGTTTATATTAATCGTATTTTTGTGGTAGTTTTAAAATTAGAAAACAATATTTCAATATTCCACTCGATTCTTTAGCATGGAGAAGAGCTTTGTGCCAAAGGAGAAATCAGGAATACGGATAGATAGAAAGACTGGTAGGATTGGGTGGAAAACTATAACAAATTCATAAAATTAGTTAAATTCATAAAAAATGAATCGTTATCAACTTAATCGTAGTTAAAATTTGTTGCAAACTGCACTTCAATTCTGCTCGGAGATCGCACAATAAAAAATTTCACACACATTGTTTTTGTTTTTAGGTATTTAAAAATTTAATAATAATAATTTGCAGTTTTTTCAAAAAACATCCAAAAAAAGCAAAGTAGTTTTGCTCGGCCTACAAACTAAAGCGCTAAACATAGTTACTCATAAACGTAATTAATATGTACAACAAGAGCTTAAAACTTATAAAACAATCAAAGGGTTGATAGAGGGGGTGGTTTTGGGGTTGAAGGGGCGTGGTTGTGGGTTAGCAGCTGAAGAAGAGTCAATGCAAAATCAATGCGCTGCCTTGTTGCTGTTTTTTTTTTCTGGTTGATTGGTTGGTTGGTTGATTGGTGGCTTGCTACTTTAAACTTTAACTGCTAAAATATATTTATGTTTTTTTCTGTTTTTCCATTTTATCTTTTGTAATACCATTCAAGCTTGGGTTTTTTGTTTCCTTCATTTAAATTAATAACTTGTAGTTCTTTTTGTTTGTTGTTGCTTTAAATATTAGTTTTGTTTTTTAAATTGCATGCATGTTGGTTTTGCTTTGAAACTTTGTACACGGCTCAATTAAAAGGTAAAATAATTTAATTCAACTCCCAACGATCCGGGTGATCTATTCTGCTTCCAAAGATCCTCCCAGTGATCCCGGTGATCCTGCGATCCCGCTTCCTTCGCCACTCCCAGTCTCTGTCTCTCCCACTTCCTCTCCACTCTTCCACTGCCACTCCCCCTTCTTACGCCTCCAGCATGACCTTGTGCACTGCGCTGGCCAAAACGGGATTGGGGGAGCCCACTCCGCTCGCCGGCGGACTGCTGCTGGGCGCCGGACTCGCCGCCGCCGACGGAGGGCCGCCGTTCGAGGCGGTGACGGTGACGTCGGCGGACAGCGTGGGGTACCGCTGAACGGCATTGGCGGCGGCCACCAGGGCGTGCAGCTTGCTGGGCGGCGGCGTGGGCGACTTCTTGGACAGATTCAGCGGCTGCGCCGAGTCGGCGATGTCCACCTGGAGCTCCAGCAGAGGAGCAGCACCACTGGAGCCACCAGAACTGGAGCTCGCCGGGGCCGAGGTGCCATTGCTGGTGGAGTGCGGCGACTGGAAGTACTGGCAGCTGCCGGCGGAGCTGCTGCTGCAGTTGGAGTTCGAGTTGGAGTTCGAGGAGGAGGTGGAGGAGGAGGTGGACGAGCTGGAGCTGGAGCTCGAACTGGAGCTGGAGCTCGAGCTGGAGCCGTTGCTGTGCGGCGAGACGGACTGCTGGCGCTGCTGGCAGGTGGTGGTGATCACCGAGCTGCTGCCCCACCGCTGCTGCTGACCCACCTGGCCTTGCACCTGACCCACTTGACCCGCCGACGGTGGTGGGGTGGAGCTGCTGCTGGGACTGCGGTTGCCCACTCCGCTGGAGGTGGTGCTGCTGGCCGCCGAGCTGTTCTCCCGCTTCAGATAGTTCTGGATGATGTCGCTGCGCTTCATCTGCTCGGGCGTCATCCTTGGCTCGGCCATCAGCGACTTGGCCAGAACGGAGTGCGAGCTGGCCATCGAGGCCTTGGGACTGGAGCGGGTCAGGTGCATGTGCAGCTGGCTCTGGCTCTGGCTGGCGGGGCTGCCCAGTGCTCCGCCTCCCCCAACCGCGGAGGGCGGGGGCGTGGCCACGCTGTTCGGCACGGGACTCTGACGGGGACTGCCGGCGCTCAGGCTGTTCGATCCGGAGGTGGAGCTGCTGGCGTCCGCCTCGGCGGTCTCGAACTCGCGGTGGCGCAGCGCCCGGAACTTCTTGTGCGGCTTGTAGGCCTCGTCCATCAGCGAGTTGGTGTCGTAGAGCGGCGGCGCCTGGAGCACCCGCTTCAGCACGGGCATGTCCTCCACGATCTGCCGCTTCAGGTGGCCGCTGCTCGAGGGCTGCGGCGAGCGGACGGGCGACACGGCCACCACGCTCAGCTGCGGATGCTGCACCACCTGCGCCTGATTGCCGGCGGCATCACTGCAATCCAAAGCGTCATCCACGCTGGAGCGCGGACTCGAGCAGGAGGAGCTGCCCCCCGAGCTCACCGCCTTGCACTCGTTCTTCTCGTTGCCCGACTCGATGCCCGAATCCGTCGGGGAGTCCAGCTTCCTGTAGCGCGCCGCTCCGGCGGTCAGATGGTGGTGCAGTTGCGGGTGCTGCTGGTGGTGCAACTGCTGCTGCTGCTGTTGCTGTTGCTGCTGCTGCGGGTGGTGGGGCTGCTGCTGCTGATGTTGCTGCTGGTGATGGTGGTGGCGCACGATTGGCGTGATTGTCAGCCCGTTCTGGGTGAGATGGGCGTGCGAGCCGACGATGTCCATGTCGGCGGCACCGGAGTCGCCGCTGGATCCCGAATTGGCGCGATTGCGGAGCGGACAGCCGCCGGAGAGCGTGGCGGCCAGCAGGGGAGCGGAGCTGGCCAGCGAAGAGGGTTGCTGCTGCTGCTGCTGCTGCTGCTGCGGTGGCGAGGGAAGGGAGGCGCCACCCTGCGGCTGCGAACTACTGGGACTGCTGTAGTCGAGATCGGCGGACTCGCTGCTCGAAACGGAGCCCAGCGGACTCTTGGCCGCCTCCACGTCCATGGCGTCCGCCCAGCTGGCCGAGGGCGACTTGTTCTGCTGGCCGTCGCTGCTGCTGTTGCCGTCCTCCATGGACCACATCTGCTGGCGGAGGAGCTCCTTGTGCTCGGTGCGAAAGACGACGAGCTTCTCGGTGTGCAGGGTGCTCAGGGTGCGCAGGTCGGGCATCGTCTCCAGCAGCTTGGCCAGGAACTCCGGCTGGTCGGGCCTGTTCTGGGCCACGATGTACTGCAGGCAGCCCTTGAGCCGCGAGTACATCTTCTCGATCAGCTCCAGATTGCGCAATCCCGGGCGATCCGGCGTAATTAGAACGATGGCGCAGAAGAGTCCAATCTCGGCATCTGTCAGGTTCATCGAGTTCATGCGCTCCGCAAAGTTGAAGGTGGAGTCCACCAGGAAGCGGGCATTCGCTCCGTTCTGAATGGCATCGCGCCGCATCACCTGGCCGTTCAGGCAGATGATCGAGTTGATCGAGGAGTCGAACATGCAGATCAGGCGGACGAACAGCGCATCGAAGAGTCCCGCCTTTAGCAGGGTGAACTTGTCGTCCTGGGTGAGCAGCTGGAATCCGGGGATCATTCCGGCGAAGTCGATCACGCCGCGGATCACGTGGGCGAAGCGCTGCGAGAACTCCTGCTCTGATTGAAGTTCAGGGGCGGGGTTCAGTGGACAGGCCTTTAATGAAAGGAGGAAAACAAATAAAGGGGTTAGAAAGAGGTGGCCTAAATATGAGATTTAATTTACCCCTCTACCATTTAGAGTTTTTTTATTAGTAAGCATTGTTTGTATTTATACTGCAGTGACTGTTCGCAAAAGTTGTTTGTCTGAGTTGGTAAACTTTTCCCCGCAACTGTTGCTGTTGCTGTTGGCCAGCTTTTCCCCGCGCCCCATCACGTCATCGCTTTTTCCACACGCGAAGGTCAGCGAACCTCCCCTCCCCGTTCTGGGCCACTCATTTAAATCAATAACAATAACTATTTGTACTTCCGCACGCCCACCACCGCCAGCTATCTGCCGTCTCTGTCTACGAATGTCGCATTTCCTTAAACGCCGCTGGAAGCTTTTTACAAAAAAAAAAAACCACACAGAGGAAAGAACGTAGGGGAAAAGCTTTGACTACGTCAGCTGGTCGTTAGTTTTTCTGGTTTTAGTTTCTAGGGGCTGCTCTCGCTGCTTTCCCTACCCTCTCCCTATATGTACTATATATATTATATCCTATAGTTGGGAGCTTTTGCCGCTGACATTAGCAGCCAAGGTCGACGAACTAGAGTTCAAGGTTCCGGATTCCGGATTGTGTGCTCTGTTACTGAATAGTTGTTTTTCTTTTTCCTGCTTTCGGCGCGTGTTTTTTGTTATTCTTTATTTTTATTTTTTTTTTGCTTTTTTGCGCTAGTGGGTTGGAAAAGGGGGAGGCATTGCGGCGAGTCTAAGCCGAGCGAATGTTCATGTTATTTCGCCATTTGGCTTTCCGGGTTTTGAGTTACATGAACATGCGCCAAGTGCCCCAGACACCGAACGTGCCACCCTGCCCCCCTTCGCCAACCCCTTTGCCATTCCCCAATTCATTTCATTTACCCACCATTGTTTTCAGCAACTTGATTTTTAATTTACGTTTGATTTCATGTGTGTTCGCTGTTTTTTTATTCGATTCGTTCTGTTTCAATAAGCACACGTTGTGCTGTCTGCCGTCGCTTCTTTCTCTCTTTCGATTTTCGCCTGATTAACCTTGAAAATGTGTTTTCTTTGTGCGAAAAAAAAACCAAACCCAACAACGAAAATACAATGGAATAAAATTAGAAGAGAGAGGGAAAATAGCAGCCGGCAACCGGCAAGCTGAATTTTCCCCCGCATTTTCTTTTCGCCGGCGCTTTGACGTCGCCGTATCATTTGATTTTCTCCCCGAAAAATATTTCACATTTGCGCAAAAGCGGAAATAGTTTGCGAAAAATACTAACGACTGTTTAAGTGTGTGTGTGTGTGTGTGTAGTAGTAGTAGTAGTGGCTATTTATGACTGCTGCCCTCCCCCCGAATTTTCTCCCGTATCATAAGATCCCATTTCTATACGATCCGATCCGATCCGACCTTCAATTGGCGTCTGCGGCGTTGCCAAAAATAATTCTGCAGAATACTTGTACCGGCTGATATGGACAGCGAGATTGAATAATCTCGAGGGCTAATCGCTTGGCAAGAGCAATTTCTATTTCTGCCCCGAAAACCCAAGCAATTCGCTCAGACTTTTGGCCTCACCTTGCACCGCCGGCGAATCTTCCGCCTTCCGTCATAAACTGAATGGCTGCCTTTTGCAAATTACGACGCTTCCTAATGAACCACCTGACAATCTTACAGATTGCTCTCCTATATAGTATATAGTATAGTATAGTATAGTATAGTATATTGCATTTTGTGACGGCGCTCGTCTGGCACTCGCTTCCTCATACTCATGACATTTTATGCATATTTTTTAGTGCCATTATTGTTTGCTCATTTAGAGTGGAAATATCAACTGCAAACAGAGAAAGAGAGGGAAGCGAATCCATTCGCTCATTTCATTCGTTCCAAGGTTAAAAAATAACTCGCCCCAAGGTCGTTTCACTGTATTTGTGTATGTGTGTGTGTGCTTAATGGCACTTCTTGATCTGCCGATCGCATTTGATTTCTTTCTTTTCGAATCACCAAATCAAAATTTAACTTTTTTAGCCTTGCACTTGACTCTGACTTTTTGTCCCCTAATTTTTGTTTTTTTTTTTTTTGTGCGCTCGTGTCGCATTTAAATATTTTAATAATAATTTATTTAAATGGGCAACGCATGTGTCTGGCTGGCTCTACCTGTCTCCTTCTAATCCTGTGCCCCCTCTCTTTCCCCCCGCGATAGCAGATACGAGTGTGTGTGTGTATGTGTGTGTGCTTTCATTAATAATGACGCTACGCTTGACCTTGAGCTTTAGAACTTTGTTTGTGTATTTTGTTGTTGCCGAGACACGTTTTTTTTTTATAAAGCACTTTTCTTTATCGCTTTCGGTTATGGTATGTCAAATGGTATTTTTTGGGGTATTTTTTTCACCACCGAATTCGTGTGTACTTCCTCGCGATCCATTTCCTCTGACCCCAAAAAAAAAAAACCCCGTGACGTTGCTTGTAAAATAAACAGCAAATGGGATTTACAAAAAAAAGAAGGCAGAAAAATAAGCGATAGCTAGCATTCAGCATTCATCATTCGGCTGTCAGGGGAAACGTCATAAATCTGACATTGACAAGCTTTTCGTCAAGAACTTGACCCCAAACTTGCCACTTCAATGGCCACACGTTTCTCGAGGCCCCGCAAGAATCGCCGAAGAGCCAAAGAGCCGAGGAGCCAAAGAGTCGCTTGTAGACACGTCTACGTGTGGCGGGCGATTTCCTGGTTTAGAATCGTGCAAACAGGTTCACCTTGGCGCATGACTAACGCCGGCAGTAGGCAGTCACCAGTTACCAGTAACCAGTTACCAGTAAGCAGTAACCAGCAAGCCAGTAAGTAGTGACTAGCTAGTCTGCCCATGTATTCGTTGTTGTTGCTGCTGATCTATGCATGTCAACAGAAGTCGGCGGCCCGGAAATGTGACTTCGCCTACGCCGCAACCTTTGCCGGACTATTAATAAATAAACTGTACTGATAGACACACAGGGCTGCTGGCATTGTCATAACTTTATGGCCAATGGTTATTGATTATGCCACTTTAAATGGTGTTGTAAAAGGTGCACGATGTGTGTTATGTCTGCTCTTATTTGGGTTGGCTAACTCAATGTTGAGTTCTAAAAAATTGTAATAAATTATTCTGTAAGTAAAGATCTCATTTAAGCTACAAGGCTTTTTAGAATTCTTATTAAAAATATGAATTATTTTCAGAAGTAATATCTTTTCCATTATCTTTTATAATTCTTGAACAAATGATCTTTGTATCTACTATCAATATAAATATTCCCCAGAACTGCAATTAAGATGGTTTCCTATCATCTTATCCTAGTTTAAGTTATTTTTCCCACCTTATTAATTAAGAATCAAAAGACTTGAACTCACCAGAAGTGTGGGCATGGAGTAGGAGGGGCAGTCGCGCGCCCGCTGCCGCATCGCGGAGACCTTCTCCTTGGTGAACTCGCAGGTCTCGAGGTGGGCGCGCAGCACGGCGGCGAGGAGGCGTGGCTGGTCGTCGAGCTCGGTGGCGAGGGCGCGCTGCTGGCCGCGATTCTGGGTGCTCTGCTGCATGGCCGCCAGGATACGCGCTTTTTCGCGCTTCGGCACGCGACCAAAACGCACAGCTGCAATGGAAGAATGGGGAAAAAAAGAGTTATAAGCGGTTGGAAATTTCGTTGTGTTTTCGGCCTTGCGAGCGGTGCTTAAACCTAAAGTAGAGCATAAAATTACGGGCCCCATCAATTACACACTTCAGTGCACGCAGATGGCAGGTGCAACGGACAGCTGTTGTCCTGTTTTCTCAGTTCCCAGTTCCCAGTTGTCCTGTTGTCACGCAGGAAGTACCCCGTTTTCCCCTGCCATTTCCCCTGCAATTTGCTGCCCTTCGAAGTGGGTCATTGCCTCAGCTGCCTCGCCGTTTCTACAGTCTGTCAGTCTCCGATCTCTGATCTCCGGTCTTCGGTCTTCTTTCTTCGGCCTCCTCTCCCCTGTTACACTTTCTCTTTTTTAGATTTTTAATTTCTGCCTTTGGCCGCAACCGAAAAATTTGTATGTGGGTGAACTTTCACATTTCACCAACGAGAAAAGAGGGGGAAAAATCAGGCACGTTTGCGGTCACGTTTTTCGCACTAGGAATAAAATACGAAATGAAGAGGAGTGCAGAAGCGATGGATCGATAAAAGTCGGTCGATTTGTGGGGAGCGCTAATTGAGAAACACGGTTTGTGGGGAGTAATCTTTGTGTTTAAACTGGTTTAAGCAGCAGATCTATCTGTCATCTACCATCTACTCTATCTGCAAATTACTTAGATGCATTTTGACAGCTTTTACAAGTAATTTGTATGCTTATTTAGAGCAAATAAGACACCCCTGCCATTTGCAGCCATCAAACAAAATCTGACAAATGTTTGGCCAACTTTTCAATGTCAAAAGAAATTTCTACTCGCACAATTTCACTCCGCTGGCTCGGTGGCAAAAGTGAAACAGCTCTTTTACCGATTTTTCACTGGTTTTCTGCTTTTTCCAGCAGCCAGCGAGAGAGTGGAGTGTGGCCCACTTGCCGCACAGCGAAATTCAGGTCAAACGAAATGGAAAATGAAGTCTGCGCCGCTGCGCCTGCGCACTGCGCGTAGAAATTGGAGCGACGCGCCGCGCCGTGCCGCACCGTCCAACTTTCCCATGCGGAGAGACTGAAAAGTTGGTCAAACATGCGATATTGCTACTCCGTCCGCTCTGCTCTGCTCTTTCGGCTTTCGGCTCTTTAGAAAATAGCAACGCAACGCTGCCTTCGCCGCAGTTTCGATTCAAGTTTGAAGCTCTTCCGCGGCAAAGAAAAAATTATTGTATGTTTATAAACGAGGTCAACACTTCAATGGCGCTCGCTTTTGGCTGTTGCTATTTGTTTGGAGGCATCGACAAGCAGAAGAAATAAAAAAAAGGTAAACAAAAAGCGAATCAAACGTGGAGAATCTCAGAACGCCTGCATTTCGCTGGGAGTTTTGGTTTGTGTTTGGAAACCGAAAGCTGGGTGTTACTTTAATCTTGTTCAACTCTTTTTCTGGCCAAATCTGTGTCAGGCGGCTTAGGGAAATTGGCCTGGCTCTTTCACTTTCTAACTCGGAGTTTTGTGTGCAGCTTTCGGATTTCTGATTTTGGATTTCGGATCTCGGATCGGTTAACTTACGCGCATTGTGATAGTTGACGTTGCCTTTCAATATGCCCTTCAATATCGGCAGTTCTTCGCCCATTTTGATGCTTTCTGTGCTTGCTTTGGGGGTTTATCTTGACGGAATATCTTGACTTGGTCACTTCTCCCTTTGGGGGCACATCAACCACTCAGTTGGGCTTGCACATTAAATATTTTGTTTGGGTAATTCTTCTTGGTTTTTGGCACACACACAGCTTGTTTTCTTTTTTTTGGTTGGTACTCAGGTACATGGATATTTGCTTGAGAAACTTGTTATCTTGTTTGCACTTATTCTCGGTTAAATATTTTAATTAACTTTTTTAGCTGTTTTGTTGTGAGAGGAACTTTGTTTGCTTGCTTTTCACATTGATTTGATTTTTGGAATATTTAGCAAATAAATTAGTGGTTGGTTAGTTTAGTTGGTTTTATTTTGGGCGCGTAATCCAGACAGACGAGTGTTTGAGTTTGGGAGACTTGGTCGACTTTTCTTCACACTAACAATTGCGTTTAACATTCATTGGCATCAATCAGCATTTTGTTTAAATTAAATTATATTTGTTTAACTCGTATTTAATCGCCCTTAAGTGTTGGCTTAAATACTTGTGGCAACTGCCGCACTCGCGTTGTTCTGGGCTTATTTCGGATCCCGCGGATCGCTGGCTAATATGACAAAACTCGACAAGGTCTCGAACGCGACTAACTGTAAAAGCCAAAGCGCGTTACGAATATACCCAGTGTATGGTATGGTTTGGTATGGTATCGTCTCGTAGCGGGCAAATCGGGGAGAGCGAACCTCAGCTGCGGCGACTGCGACGGCGACTGAGCTCTGGTCTCAAAACAGAGACCGAAGCGGAAAACTGAACACTGAAAACGCCGCACAAAACACAAAAAGCCGCCAGAGGCAACGACCAACGGGGCGCTCCAAAGAGAGCCAAAGAGCGCAGCTAAGAGAGGGAAAGCTCTCTGGTTGAAAGCAACCTTTGTTATTGTGCGGGGGCAACAAGCCAGCGAAAGAGAAGTGAGTGACTCAGTAGTGATAAGACTGGAAGTTCCATCAACCTATTTTTAATTACATTAATTGTTATTTAAAATATTTAAATTATTTAATGTACTTCTGTTCTTTGTTATTTTTAATTTGCGAAAATAAATTCAATATTTAAGCACGATGACTTATCCTTTGTCTCTTCAATATTTTTACTTTGCACACTCATCCTGTAATTGTGCTTTAATAATATTGAAACAATGACCCACCCAACAAAACAAAGCAAGTTCAAGCACTGATAAGCTTTCCTGATAAGCTTGCCACAGCTCCTTTTTTTAAGGGCGCTTTATCGTTGCTTACATCTTTTTTTCTCGAACACCAGCGGTCAGGAAAGTTCAACAAACTCGGAAGAGAGGACCCAAGAGCAAAATACTCTCTTAAGAGCTCTTAAGCTTCGCAGAGCTTTTCACCACGCAAGAGCAATGGTGTTGAGTTGCGCAAGCTTTCACAAAGCTTTTGCCATACTTGTCATTTGAATATTTTGCACTGCGGCAATTTTCACGGTGCGTATGAGTGATGTGCGCTTGGAACATTGCGCATACGTCACGTTGGCAGGTGGAAAATGTAGACTGGAGGCTGGTGGCTGAGGCCAGTAATGCGACAGTTAAATCAAACTTGATGACTTCACGCTCGAGTGGATAATTTACGACGCCACTGGCCCCGTCTGCTTATCGAGGGTTAAGCAGCTCATGAGTTTGTGAGTTTGCATTTACGCAAATGCAGATTTTGCCGCTGGCACACAGCTGACTCACTGCGATCACCGCCAACAGACGTGAGTGTTCCAGATTGTTTGTTTATCCAAACTCTGGCTTTGTCATCGAGTCGCTTCGGTTTACCCCAACCACACTGGTCATTGAACTTAGCCGCCCGAATGAGGCCACAAAAACGTAACGAACGAACAACGAACAACGAGCAACATTTAATAATCATTCCGTCCGGCGATGCGACGAAAGTAAAAGTGAAAGTTGTTTGGCTCTTTTTCGGGTAGAAATTTTCGTGCGTGCCGTGGAAATGCAAGTTGATTGGTCAACACCGTTGGGTAGGCCTATAACGATTGCATAACGCCCCGAAGATTGGGGCTAAAGACCGAACACACCAAAAGGCGGATAGACGGAGAGACAACTGGATTCAACTGGGGCGAAGGTGGCCCAAAAACGAAGCGATGGCGATGTGATAACAGGGGGTAATTTAATGGTTTTACTTATTACATTTTCTGGTTGCGTTAACTAAATGTATTTTTGCTAAATAATTACATATACTTGATTTTAAGATTCCAAATAAAGATCTTACTTCCTTAATATTTAAGTCAGTTAATACAAAAATTTGTTTATATTTTATCTTTCATCTGCAACGCTTAACTTATGCAAGACTCTTCTGCGAGTTGGCAGTAAACCAGTTCAATAGCATCGCTCTGGTCATAATTGACATTCACAATAATGCCCGGCAATTAAAAGCCAATTAACAAGTTTCACTTTCACTGCGACAAGACATCCCAAGTGCCGTGTATCAAGTTGCTTTCTAAACCCGAATTGTGATTTCTTGTTATTGTTTGGCCACTTGAGCGTCCGACTTCCTGAATTACGGGGAAACACTAAACGAAAGCCGAGAGCCAAGCTAGTTGTTTACGAGACGCTCGAGTTCATTGCACCCACAAGGCGGAGAAATGGGGAGGGGAGGGGGCGGTGGGGTAGGCCTACTTTCGGTTTTGGGTAAAGCAGAGGTAGAGGTGATTCACAGACACCTCTGGATGGCTTTACGTAAAGTCACATAAGCGACACAATTGTTGTTGCTTTGGTTTTCGGTTTGCTTGCGTAAGTTGTTTACAACGCGATCGAAGCGTGTGGAAAGAGTTGGGCGGACAAACAAAGGGGGGCACACAAAAGAAGTGATACTCCAAAGAAAGGGGCCGCAGTGAACCCCAAACCCCGAGTAATAATAATAACAATAATAACGAAGTCATCATGCGTATGTTTCGAAGTTTCTTGAATTTCTCAAGACGAAAGACGAAAGAAAGCCCCCGCATAAGCGGGTATTTTTATTTTTGTTTTTATTTTCGGTTTGGAGCCTTCGACGTCGTCGCTCGCTGGTTTGGTTTTTGTGGGTCATGAAAAATGCCTCAATGAAAAACGTCGGGGAGGCCGTCGCCGTGCATATAGTGCATATAGCATATAGCCTATAGCATACGGCACTTGACATCGCTCGGATCGCTCAGGGTAGAGTAGACCCTGTGCCATATTATTAATTTTACATGAAAAGGTCGTGCCTCGTTTCATTTCTCATCGATGAAGTGCGGAGAACAAAAGGCGAAAACCAAACAAAAGCCATTCAAAAGCACAGGCGCATTCAACTAATTTCGTTGTTTGCGTTTTGAGGCCAATTTGCGTTCGGCCGAAGGATAAGTAAGTTTACAAATTACAGAGGCTGAGTGGCAAACATAAACATTAAAATAAACATAAATTACAACTCTTTAATCATTGGAAGGCACGACTACGACCTTTTGTACTGCCTCCAAAAATTAAACAATTAATATAAACCACGAAAAAGTTATTTTTTCAACTACTGTCCTTACTAACATTTATATCTCCCAACTTTCTTCTGCCATCCCTGACCTTTACAATTCCCTCCGAAAAAAACCCAATAAATAGCCAACTTGTTTACAAGTTCAGAAATAATTCTCCCCCGCTATAGAAAATTGGGTCAAGCTGATCTGCATCTACGCGCTTTGCCAGCGAGCGGACTTCAAACGCATACGCAAAAATAATTCCATTTCGTGTCTAATCATTTTCGAATAAATGCGCGCCAATGCCGTCGATGTCGTCGCTGCGGCAGAGGCGAATGACCGTGCCTGACCCAAATAGAAGTCGCTGCACTCGGCGACAAACTGCAAACCCCCTCCCCCGCCCCCTTCTCAACCATGCTGCCCCAAGCCCCCCTCTCCCGAATTCGTATTTTGCTCAGCCTCTGACGTCGTGCAAAAATTGCAGCCGAACGAAACGAGGCCGAGTGCAATGAACAGCATTCAGCACACGAAAGAGAGAACCAGAGAGAGGGAGAGCAAGTAAGAACAAGAGAGAGAGAGAGAGAGGGACAGAGAGAGAGGGAATGCAAATGCAGCTTCGAACAAGTTGCGACTGCTCGTTGGGTGTTGCAATGCGAAACCTTCGAGAAATTTTACAAGAGTCGTTGAACTCTGCGGCTCGGTCGTTTAACTGTGGCCCAAAAGCAGCAGCAGCAGCAGCAGCAGCGGCTGCGGCAGCAAGAGCAGTGGCAACTGCAACATCGGCCAACAGCAATATTGCTGCAATATTGCTCGTGCGCTCTCCGAGAGATTTGAGAGCTGGAAAACTAGTTTTTGGCGCCGAGGCATTGAAAAAAGCGAAAGTACATTTTTTATTTCGCCCGCTCCTCCTTACTCCCCTCCCCGGGAAAAATACATACAACAAAAACAACAAAAAAAACTCGGCTCCGACTCGTTCGCCAGACGACCGAACGCTCTTCGTGGCAAGAGGTAAATGAACCTTTTGAAGGTTCAACTTGCGTAGTAGGCGACGCCAGCGTCTCGTGTAAAACAAGTTTGTTACGTTCGCCGTTGGCTGCCACTCAGTTGGCTCGTTGCTTCTTCTTCTTCTTCTTCTTTCTTACTGCCTGCCTGTCTTTCTTTCTTTTTTCGCGCTGCTTTTGGCGCTCTTTTCTTTGCAATTTCACCGTTAACAATTTTTTGTGGCTGCCTTTTGTGAGGCAGGTGAAGGCAGGCAGGCAGCAGCAGCAGCAGCAGCTTTATGTAACCAAAGCGATGAATAAAAAAAATAAAAGAAGCGTCAGCAGGCGGCTAAAAACTCAAGTTGTCAAGCAGCTGCCGTTGCTGAAGTATTTCGCTGCTGCTCTCTTTTTGCTGTTTTTTTCCTCCCTTTTTGTTTTTTTTTGGTGATGGATGACACGCGTGAAATGATTTCACTTATGGCCAGTAAGTAATTGTATAAGCGTCAAAGGGGGGGAGTAATTGGGCGGAAAAAACACAACAAGAAAGTACCAGAAAATAAAGGCTTTAATGTAAGTTACTAGCATGGCTAATAGAGGTTAACAAAAATATAAGAGACCTCTTGATTAGTTACTTTTGTTCAATCGCTTTGATTGGCTCGCATAAACCTTCACCAGCTGCAAAGAACAGTCTCCGCTTGAGACCCCCACTGACCAAGTATGAAACCTCACCCACATCGTCATGATTAGCATTTTGTACTTGAGGCTGTGAGCTGTTTTTTAGCCCCGCCCACTCACGCGCCCACTCTCATGAGCCGCCGAGTCGAAGGCTCCTTGAACTGTTCCAAGTGTTCAACTCCTACCAAAGGCCCAACCCCAAAAGCCGCCCCCTCAGCCACCACCGAAACCCCTTCGGTCGGCCTCCTTGTCCGCCTTGTTCTCGTTGTTATTGTAAATTTTGTGTAGCCTCCAATATTATTTTAGTCAACAGCTTGCCATGAGTATCTGTGTGTAGCACTGGCATTTTAATGTATTTGTAATTGACCTGAATAAAGTTCAAAACACTCGCAGCGGCGAGGCAAGGCGAAATCTACATGCATGCCAGTGTGTTGTTGTTGTTGCTGCTGCTGTGTGTGTGTGTAGCCTCAAAATAATAATGATTGCGACAACAACAGCAACAACGATCATGTCGTAGTTGCTCGTTTATATATATTTTTATGTGTGTGCATATATATATAAAGAAAAAATGCTGTGCCTTCGATAATTGACAATTGTTTGATTATTTTATGTGCTTTTGGGACACCAGCAACTAATTGCTACTGTGCATGTTGCTGGTAGGTAGGTGCGGTTATCTATTTGCCTCACACCTATTTGAAATACAAGATTGAGATAACTAGATAAATTTAATGGTTGTGCAGGGCAATTATTTCTTACAGAGGATGTTGGGCAAAGAATCGAAATAAAATATTGTAATCTACTACAAATATAAAAATAACTATTAAGAAGGATGTGTTATTTCAAATTTCGCATTCTTAGATCCCCTTGCTGATATTTGACTAATCTTCAAACATTTTCAAACCAGCACCCCCCGCCTCCTCCCCTTTTCGCAAGCTTTATCTCGGTTCTCGTTCGTGCTGCATATTTACTTTCAATTTGCCTAACCTCGCGCTAATTTAAGTTCATTTCAATTAAAAGCCAGCATGTGTGCATGTGCATGTGCCTGCTAATAAAGAAAAGCACAGCGACCGCAAATAAATGTATAGAAAATAAGCATATATCTAGATTCTCGAAAAACTGAACGATATATTGTTTCCATGCTTTTTTGGCCAGCCAACGGCGAACTAATAAATTTCCAAGCAAATCCGCCAAATCAAATGCAAAATTAGCAGCAAAAAAAAAATTAAGCGACGACGAGTGTTGTGCACATTGTTCGTTGTTTACTATCGCCGCTCACACAGATACTATCTACGCACACAGGCGCAACCACCTTCACTGCCGCGCTGCCGCTGCCGCTGCGCTGCTGCTGCGCCGCCGCTGGTGACCCAGTTTCGCTGCACGTCAGCGGCGGTCAATGAACTGAGCTGAGTTGGGACGTATTTCATTTGACTTTTTCGAGGGGGGCGCTTGTGTGCGCTAAATTTCGGTTTCGTTTTCATTTCTTGCGTTATTTTCGTGTCTTTGCAATACCAAAAAGAAAACCCAAAAAACAACAAACACCAACAAAATGGCGCCTATTACTACTGGCAAAGAAATTATGAAAGCAGGCGAAATGTAACGAAATGAAATGAAAAAGAAAGTGTTTCGAAATGGACGCCAATTATCTGTGTTTTTTTTTTGCTTTTTCAGAAAGTGAAAGTAGCCGCTTCTTCGTGATTTTTTATAAACAAAAAATAAATTATGATTTCGTTGCGTTTTCTAGGTCAGTCGCTCTTGTTTTATAACTGTAAATTGTTCATCAGCGGCCCTCGTTGTTTTTTCGGCGTGTGCGTTTTATTTTAATTTTCCTTGAAAGATAAGGCAACCGGCAGCGCAGTCGCCGTCGCTTAAATAGCACACGGTCATTTTTATTATAAACAATTCGAAATTTGTTGGTTTGCTTTTTTCGCTTTGTTTTTTTGTTTCGATTTCATTTCATTTCATTGCTGTTGCCGAGTTCGAGTTTGCTGTTTATTTTGTTGGCGGTCGAATTTTTGTTCGGTTCACATGACTTATTTTTGGCACTAGCATGGGTTGCTCTAGGCACAGAACTAGTTCAAGGATTTGCTAAAAAATTAATGCGCTTTGTTCTAGGTTAGTGGCTAATTAATGGTGGGATTTTAATGGTGACAGACCTCAAAAATAATGGGTGCTAGTAAACAAATGAATAAAATTGGTAGTCAAAATAAATTGGGGCTGCTTCGGCAATAACAAATAAATTTTGGAACAAATATAAAATTTGTTGGTATATGGTAACTGAAGATGGAGAATTAAAATTCTATTTTATTTAATTTAATTTACTTATGGCAGCTGATTATGTAAACTAAAATTTCAGATCATAACAAAAATTCAATTATAGTGATTTTTCCATATCAGAAACTTATCGTAAGTTTGTTAATCTTATGTAAAACATTTTTGATCAACCTCGCTTGATATTTTTTCCTCATTTTTTTACTTTCTCGTTGTGGGGCGCGCTCCACATAACGAACAAAATATCAAAATCTAATCCATCAATTACAACATCGAAGGCAACAACAAATACTATTTTACACAAAGGCCGCGTCTGCGTGTTGCCTACAAAACAGCCTCTTCCCGTCTCCCTCTGACCAACTGTCCCCATCCCCTCTTTCTCTCTTTATATCCCTCTCTCGCACACACACACGCATGAACCACTTTCGTTTTCGTTTTCACTGCAAACAGAAACATGGCCGCCCAGCGAGAAGTCAATGAACGTGGAAAAGAGAGTGCGAGAGAGTTTGACTGTGCTTGTGGGTTGTTTAGACTGTGTGTGTTTGTGTGTTGCGCTTTCATAATCGCGGGCTATTTCCTGTAAATATTTTCCGGGCTATGAGCTTAATTTAAACAAATTATTACAAAACTCAATAATAACAAATGCAGCCAGCGTAACAAGAAGAGAGACAGGGAGAGAGCGACGCAGAGCGAGAGAGGGAGAGATACCGATGGCCTCGCTCTGGTGTCTCCATTATGGATTTGGGTTAAGTGCGTTCATTCAACTTTTAACACCATTTCGAAATGGCGCACACTTCTCGCCGACAGCCTGCTCTCAATTCATCATGCGGGTGTGCTTTTTGTTGTTTCGGGGAATTTGTTTAAACAAAATAGACAACTTTTACTTTGCCGTGAAATCGCGCCAAGCGAAATGTTGCAATACAGGCAGCAGACACACACACACAAGCACACACACTCGCAAAGCTAAAATTTCGTTCATGGCTGGTCAATGAACTCAAAATAGCCGAACGAACTTCGGCTGGCGCTCGGCTCTTTTCGTGTTCGATTCTGCTGTTAGCCTTTGCTGAAACTTGATTCAATTTGGCCCGCTCCATCCTCCCATATTTGATATTTGCATAGATTCTAAGAAGGCTTAAAATACTCAAGGTACTCACCATCGCGACTCATGCCCACGGCAATGCACTTTTTCAGGCGACAATATTGGCAGCGATTGCGATTGATGCGCAGAATGCTGCACTGCTGATTTTTGGTGCAGGGGCGATACTGGATCTTTTGCTGGATGGAGCGACGGAAGAAGCCCTGTAAAGATTACAAAAAGTACAAAACATAAGTAAATTGTAATCAATTAAAAAAGTAATATAAAATCATGTACGATGACCTAAATAAATGCCTAAAATTTATATAATCCCTCTTTCTATTAAAACCTACATCTGCATCTTCATTCGCTGCTATGGCTGGCGTATTCCTCCCCGTATTGGCGTTGCTGTTGCTCAGGGCCGTGTCCAGATTCTCATCGAACTTCTGGCACAAGTAGTTCAGCTGCGAGGAGTCCAGTCGCTGGTGATGCTGCTCGCACAGCTCGTCATCGCAGCCCGAGTCCTGCGCCTCGTCCATCTCCTCCAGCTGCTGCTCGTCGCCGCCGTTGCAGGTGCAACAATTGCCCGCACTGGAGTTGCTCGAGTTGCTCATCAGCGAGCAGTTGCTGTCGGAGCTGTCCCGCCGCTGCTGCTGCTGCTGTTGCTGCTGTTGTTGTTGCTGCTGCTGCTGCTGCTGGTGGCTGTGTTGCTGTTGCAGCTGGCTGTGGTGTTGCTGCTGCTGCTGCTGGGACTGTTGACGCAGGAGATTGGCGATTTCCTTGTGGGTCTGCGCCGAAAAGGGACTATCACAGTGCAGCTGCTTGATGTTGCTGGTGGGCATTGCCGCAGCTGGCTTCGCCTCCGGTTGCTGCTGCTGGGCGCTGCTGCCTGTGGTCTGCTGCTGCTCCAATTCCCGCTGCTTGAGCTCCCGCGCATAGCGAATCTTCTTCCAGGGGCACTGATATTGCTCGTAGCTGCTGTCCTCGAGCGATGTTGCCGCCGTGCCGTTGGCACTCGGGCAGTCCTCATCGCTGTTGGGGCAGTCCTCATCGATGCCCGACTCACTGTCATTTTTGGCGCTTAGATCGGCACATGGCTTTGGTGTTGCTGCTGGGGCTGCTACTGTTGCAGGCTGCTGTTGCTGATGCTGCTGATGTTGCAGCAGCAACACAATCTGCTGCTGCTGCTGCTGA